TAGATAGATAGATAGATAGATAGATAGATAGATAGATTTGTATAGCACCTTTCAAAACTCAGCTACAAAGTGCTTTACATCAAGTAGAAAGTATTTGCTAGGACGTGCACTGAAACTGAAATGAATGGGAATGGTTTTGTAAAATCGTAACTGTTGAACATAAAGAGTGAAACTGGGACTGTGTGCGTCTTATCTCCAGTACACAGCAGCAGACACCTCATGAGGAAGCACCGGAGCCACCTTCGGACCAAAATCGAGTCGGGTGAAGGGACGGTGCCGCTGCGGTGCCGGGGGCCCGCCCAGACGTGGGATGGTGTTCTGCAGGGGGAACAGCTCATCACCATGTCCTGCACTGACAAGATCACTAGGTCAGTAATGTCCCATAATGTATCTGGCTTTAAAACTTTAGACTCAGATACTTCAGATTCTGACATTTGAAGGATCATCTGTACTTTTCTGTAGATTATTATCTTGTTTACAAAAGTCCTAATCTAGTTTTGTGACGATGCGTTGCAGTTATTACCTCATGAATTGCRCTGACTTATTAAATATAAGACAAACAAATAAAAAGACAAACAGATGACAGAAAGGTAGAAAAATCCTAACCACCCAAGAGATGTCTGGTCCGTTTAAGAAAAGAAAGGTTGAGTGGTGGAAAGGTTAAATTTATTAGGAGATTAACTTTCTTATGAGGAGGAGAGATTTACTGGAATAAAGCGTTTTAAAATGTGCTTTAAGATCTTTGCAAAGACGTGTCTGATATTTACCTAACACGTGTGTGTGTGTGGTCACGTGTCCACGCTGGTCCAGATAGAGAATATCGATTTCCCATATGAGACTTAACTTAGTAATCCTATACTAATGAATTGGTGTATTAATCAAGGCTTTCTTTTTAATCTTTAAATCTGGTAGGATTGACATTTTAGTCATACAAACCTTTACTCACTCGGCTGTATTGATTTACTTATGCTGGCTTTAGAAAGTGCACACCTGTGTGTAATGATAAGTAGCTGACTTAAACAYGTGGTTCACATTTATTTCTTTTTATTTTTGATGTTAGTTCAAAATAAGAGACTGCTGACATTTTTTACAGTGTCTGTGTATCGTTTAACTATTAACAATTCAGCTCAATGTAAGGACAGTGAAGCTCTGCTCCTCACACGAGTGCRTGAAGAGAGGAGACACAAGTGTGAACACTTTACAGCCTCCTCACCATCACAAATGCAAAGATCCATAATGATATATACCAACTGCATCCTGTTTTTAGGCTTTTGTGTCATTTAATCTAAATTTAAAGTGGTGAGATTGACTTTCAGAGGTGTGAACCAATGGCTATGATGTAATAAATCATCCTTTTACTCCTGTTCACACAGTGGTAATAGAAGCTATATTTGTACAACTTGTCAAAGCTTCTAATTGGTAAAAAAGCAGATACAGCCTTGTTTTATATGTGAGAACATCCAAAATATAAATGAAACTGAAGCCTCGATTTTAAATCAAAATTTTTTAAATAGTGCTGATTGTTCTGCTGTAACTTCTACAAATATTCAGATCGTCTTARCGAGCTCTAATCTCAGCTGCCTCTTTATTATTTAGGACTGTTGCCTGTTTCTTGTACCATAAGCGACCGCGTTAACATGGTTGGTGAGTTAAACTTTGTTCACTCCATCCTGAAAACCCCCGCTGATGAAACAAAGGCTTTCGGTACAGA